CCTCGAGACATTAAGATACGGCTACCGTAACCGTAGCCACTGCCTTTTTTTTATTGAGACGTTTCAAGTGCCTGTGGTTTGGGGCTCTCTGTTTGAGTGGCATTTACGTCGTTATTAGTCGATAGAGAATACATAAACATTAGGACTTTGGAAGTAAATACAATTTGTGTTTATTTACAATCATTTTCTATTTTAAACGTCCTAATCGTGCGTGCCAGTGTGCAGTGGAACAGAGGAAGTTGTTTTCCTTCTGACATGTACGGGTATACACAAATTTACTTTGCACACGTAACACAATCTCACATGACATAACACATCCTGCCAATGATTCTCATTCTTGGTTAAATATGTGTGTTTCTGTATACTTACAGTATAATAGGATAGCAAACCGGTGCCCTCGTCTAACACAAACCACCGGTATTGCCATCCTTTCATAACATTCGTCCACTTGCTCAGTGGTCCTTCCATCATGATCGCGGCCACTTGTGCTGACGTCACCATTTAATGCGCTCGAAAGTCTCTGACCAATGAACAAGTTTAGTACGAAAACTTTATGCGCCAATCAAAACCGCGGTATATTTGAAAGTCAATGTGTTTCCGTGTCTTTTGCGATTGTATGGATTGTATGATTGTATCAATGTATGGGTTTTCATGTGTGTGCAATAATAATGTTTATTTTAACCAAATTAAGGTAACGAAGTTTACTACTAAACATGTCTACAGAAAGGAGACGCCGACTACCACCCAGCGGACCTTACAGAGCCACTAAATTGGTAAGGAATCATATTTATACAGACCAGTGGCGATTGCTAACTCTGCGCTACTGCGTTAGGTACTGATTTTTACTGTATCATTGTACTTTGTACTACTACTTGTACTGTATCATGTATGTTGTAAAATGAGTATAGTACTGTATTTTAGATTTTACATGGTACTCTGTTAAGAGCTAAAAAAGAACGTACGTCATGTACACGTGAAATACAAGTCGAGTATCATCATGAGTATGCAGTGATGTTCACATTCCATTCGTCTTCTTAATCTTAGTTAGACTCTTACTCTTAGTCTTACTCTTAGTGACTACTCTAACTTAGTAAAATACTACTCTGACTTACTCTGACTTACTAGAGCAGTAGACTACGTAGACTACTCTGACTACTCTGACTTAGTAGACTACTCTGACTTACTCTAAGTTAGTCAAGATTAGTCTTAGATGTCCTAAAACTCCTATCCCCCAAACACAGTTGAACATTGTTGATACTAGTTCACTTCTACTTTCTAGCATATTCAGTTTAGGGCAACCGATTTCAAAAGATAGGCTGAAGCACAAAAATTTGATATATTGTTCTAGATTAAAGATGATTATTGTAAACGATCGCTTATTGAGATTTTGTGATTAAATTTACAATTTTAAGATAAAATTTTGCATTGTCATTACACGTTGTCTCACATTCACAGTGGAACGATGTGGTTCGTAGTTTTCGAGCCTCGATGCCGCTGAAGAAGCACAGGAGAAGCATGCGTTACTATGACAACTGTTTCACACCGAGTGATGCTGTGGAGTGGCTCCATGGTCATCTTCAGGAGAATCCCATATTTGGTCGTGACGTAACAAGGTTAGATAGCTAACAGCAGGCGTCTGCCCAATCTTCATCACGTCATCGTGCTCATTGCCATGATAATTAAATTTGCTTGTCATGCGTTATAAGTGAGAAGTGTAAATCATTCTTATTACGATTTTTAGGCCAGAACACGAGTAGCATTAATCGATGGAGAATAAGTTCCATAACTTTTACTATTTAGATGGAAAGTTTTATTAGATTGTTAAAAAGTACAAACTTCTGGTGACAAGTGACTTTTTTCCCCGATAGAAGATGGCAAAGCATGTATAATGTCATCTAATATCTGCATGTAATTTCTCTAAGAGAAAGAAAATATGGAGTATGCTACACAGCAGTTTGACCAATATATATGTAACCATGTAGTTCTTATCAACCCCATATTCTTCTGTTTTCTAGACAACAGATAACCCAGCTATTAGAGAAGTTTTATAAATGCGGTGTGTTTGAAGATGTCAGAGGTGCCAAACACAATAAGGACTTCAGCGACAGTGGCCATGTTTTTAGGTATAACGAGTATTTCTCCAACAAAAGCTCAGCTGCATACGTTCAGAAAATCTTTATGTATGGGGCAATTTATGACCAGCTATTGTTATTCAAAGCAAGCTAACAAAGGGCATGTCCAACCTACAGTTGTCAGTGTATCAGCCACTGGTTGTTCAATTTGACTGCTGTGGATTTCCCCAACCCGTTTACTTATATTTACTCTGTAAAATGTTAAATTCTGCCAGTAGAGCTTTTTGAACGGGCAGTGGAAGGAATAAGCTTTAACAGCTCCACTTTTAAATCTGCAGACCACATTCCTTTCATTCCCCGCATAGTAGTGTTAATCTGGGTTTGGTCCTGCAACATGTACATGTATGCTTTCAACTATAAACTGTATAAGCCCCTCACTCTCCAGTGGGCGTGGTCCTGAGCCTAACTGGGAGTGCCTGGATGGGAGCCTCTAAATTCCAAACGTTTCTTTTAAATGTATTGTGGGGATGTCTGTGACAAATCCAAGCCTTAAACCTTTTCATGCATCACTATTAGGTTTGTCGACAACCTGTCACCTGTGAAGTTGTCCCGCACTCCTCTGAAGGTGCGGACGAACAACGTGTCCCATTTGGCACCAAATCATCTGGACTTCGGAAAGTCGAAACCGCACGTCCCGAAAAGCGACCTGCAGGAATGCCACCTGGTGGCAAAACCGTTGACACCTGCTGAAGTTGAGGACGTGTGGAAGGGAGTGACGCTGTCGAGGTAGGATGGAGTGGGTCTGGGGGTACTGTTCAATGTAGACCAATGATGTTGTATGAGGTTGGTCAAACTAGACCAGTTTATGTTCTTTACATGTGCATGCCACACATTGTTGACTTTGCAGCAATTTCTGACCAACCATAATTTTAAAAACACCCCTTTGGCAAAACCTGTTGGCTAAAGGTACCTGTCAATCACTCTAGGCAGATATACGTTAATAGATAAGAACAGTTGAGTGCTCTGATACATGGATTCCGCAATATATGTTTAGCTGTGTGCTATTCGATGCAGGCTGGAAGCGATTCTGGGAGTCAGGTCATCAGATGAGCTCTTGGACAGCGGTCTCGTTAATGTCAATCACATCGTCCACAACATGACGAAGGTCAACAAGCAGGGAATAGTGACAGACCTCGCAGTGGAAGGTAGGTGTGAGTGCGTCATCTCATGTAGCAAGCATAATTCCAGTGTTCATCTGGCTCCTGGAAAAGTTCTGGAATTTTAAATTGACATTTTCCAGGTCTGGAACGACCAGGAAATGGCTTATCGTTCCAGGAAGTCTTGGAAATTGAGCAAATTTCTATTGTGTCCACACTTTGTTAATAATAATAACGTTTTTAAAATACTGGAGCCATAGTTCTGCTTACTATCTGAGAGGCAGTAAAACTTGCTTGAGACAAAAGTTTGTTCATTAATTGTTTGCAGGTACGTGACGTGTGTCACGCGCCGGTATGTGACGTGTGTCACGCGCAGGTACGTGACGCGTGTCAAGCGCAGGTACGTGACGTCACTGACGTGTGTCACGCGCCGGTATGTGACGTATGTCACACGCAGGTATGTGACGTATATCACACGCAGGTATGTGACGTATGCCACACGCAGGTATGTGTCGTATGCCACACGCAGGTACGTGACGTATGTCACATGCAGGTACGTGACGCGTGTTGGATGCATGTACATGACGCGCATTACGTGCAGGAATGTGATATCTGTCACACTTAGGTACATTGTACGAGTCCTGTGCGCAGTGTACATGGCACATGCTTGCTGGTACGGTGAGCCAGTGGACGATGCAAGTGCATGTTGCATGTATGATATCAACTACGCTCTGTCCTTCAGGTGGTGTATTCGATCGAAGACCCGACCGCGCTCACGTACTGTGAGCAGGTGAGCAAGGAGGAGTATGAGAACCAGAAGAGCGCACTCTCACAGAGTGCCATGTCAGGTCTGCTGGACAGTATCATCAGCAACAAGCGCATGAGTGCGAAGGAGAAGAGAAAGAAACTGAAACAGGTGATCGCGTGTGCTGGTGGTTGTTGGTGACATGTATTGAGGTTTCACCAACAACCACGCAGCCAAACACGTCACGGCAAAGCAAAGCACCCACCATACAGTGTCCCAAAACAACACCAGCAACACGTCACCAGCAAACACCAACAATACATGTCAGCCAACAAGCCACCAACACCAGAATCACCAACAAACACCAATACATGTCACCAACACCCACCAGCACACGTCACCAACAAACACCAATACATGTCACCAACAACCACCAGCACGTCACCAACGAACCTCAATATATGTCACCAACAACCACCAGCACACGCGATCACCTGTTTCAGTTTCTTTCTCTTCTCCTTCGCACTCATGCGCTTGTTGCTGATGATACTGTCCAGCAGACCTGACATGGCACTCTGTGAGACTGCGCTCTTCTGGTTCTCATACTCCTCCTTGCTCACCTGCTCACAGTACGTGAGCGCGGTCGGGTCGTCGATCGAATACACCACCTGAAGGACAGAGCGTAGTTGATATCATACATGCAACATGCACTTGCATCGTCCACTGGCTCACTGTACCAGCAAGCATGTGCCATGTACACTGCGCACATGACTCGTACAATGTACCTAAGTGTGACAGATATCACATTCCTGCACGTAATGCGCGTCATGTACATGCATCC